CAACCCCCCATATCATGCAATAATGAAATCCCTATAATAATCACACTATTAAAAGGTAGTGAACATGGTGGCAATTTCAATAATAATGTTGATGAATTACCTTTAATAACAACAAACCTTTTTTTACTTAATGAAATAAAGAACAATATTAATATCTGGTGCCTGATATATGAGGGTGAACCACAGTGTAATTAGAAATTGGACATTTCCTTATGAGGGAGATGCCAACACCAAAATTTACTTTTATAATAAAGTTATATTCATCCGTTGATTTGATAGTAATAAAAGGATAGTACATTTTTATTCAAAGAGTTGATGATCTGTTAACATAAATAAATTATATGTTAATAGAAATTTGTTCCCTTTCTTTGACTTCCAACTACTTTTTTTATTAATAAAGTACCCCTATTACCATACATAACTTAATGATCATATTGCATATGAAAAGATTTATAGTTGTCATTGGCAAAAGTAAAATAGCATTGTAGCTTATACGAATTAAAAAATGAAACAGATAACATTGTTTCATAATAAAAGGACCAAAATGCCTTCTTCTTAGATTTCCCCTGTTCAGAATGATAGTTGGCTTCCATTATGGTTAAACATGTTTTCAAAACATATAAGTATGATATCGATACAATCTTATTGATTTTGGATATTTTTATATTTTGGTTTTTTTGATGTTATATTTGAAATTTAAGTTTTTGTGAAAGTTGAAAAGAAGAAATACAGTTGAATCTTTTGTTAATTTTTTGTAGGATTGCAAGGGTATTTAGCAGCCGGTAAGAGTGTAAAAGTTTGAGTGGAAAAAGTCTTTTATTAATGTGGCCAAATGTCTAAGAAGATGACAAGTGGCAAAAAAAATTATTTATTTATTAAGGAGAATTTTAAAATTTGTCACATTATTTTTTTCCATGCTATGGTTTTTACTTCCACCTTGAAGGTTCACAAGCATTGGATACGAAAAAATAGGTATTATATTTGTGTGTCGTGTTTACTTGTATTGTTAAGACTATTTAGAATACATGTCACAAACGGACTTGTGGTTGACATGGCCACGGTCGTTCGTGGTTGGGCATTTTTGTTGTCGATTGTTGTGGCGAAGACAGGTGACAACAACCTCTCTCTCTCTCTCTCTCTCGAGAGAGAGAGAGAGAGAGAGAGAGAGAGAGAGAGAGAGAGAGTACCCCGATTGTGGTGAGGTGGTTCGTGGTTGGCTCAAGGTGGCTGAGTATTGAAAATAGCCTAAATTCTCTTTTATAAGAAACTTTATATTTATAATGTCTTGTATTATGAGTGAGCATAGTTCAGTTTTTCATTAAAAACAAAACCGAACCAAAAAGTTCGGTTTTTTATTTTGGAAAAACTAAACCATTGGTTATTTTCGATTTCGGTTTCTCATTTTATAGATTATTAGACTAGTTGTGAGACTCATGTATTACATGAGTTATTTTTTTTTTTTTTAAAAAAAGTTAATTATAATGGAAACGTGAGACCCAAATAGACTGTAGGCCGGTAGGGCGTTCGAGTCAGACTGAAGGCTCTATGAGTGTACTAGATAAATTGTAGGCCGGTAGGGCATTCCAATCAGACTGAAAGCTCTATGGCGTACTAGATGGATTATATGTCGGTGAGGCGTTCCAGTCATGCTGAAGGCCCTGTATGCATGCTCCTGTTTGTGATATTGGTTTTTGTATGGTCATTAGTATTTTGGGGGTACTCGCTAAGTTTCAGGCTTACAGTTTTGGATTATGTTTCAGGTACTTCAGAGGATTACGGGAAGGCGAAGGCGTGGTCGTGCACCTCCTCATATTTGTTTCATGATTTCTTGGATTTCTCTGATGTTGAACTTATTTTGGAAACAATTTGTAATAAATGATGGGTTTTGGATTTATTTAAAAGTTTTAAAATTTTCAAAATTTTATGGATGTTACATGATGATTGAGTTAACTATTTCTTTCCATTATATATATATATATATATATATATATATATATATATATATATATATATATATATATATATATATATATATATATATATATTCCCTTTTGAATCTCATAATCAGTATGAGATGTACGTGATTTGAATCTTTTTAGACTTTTAACCCTCTAATCTTTTTTTTATAATATACACGTTTCATCTGCACTATAGAATATTATTTTTTATTATTTCATTGATTACTTTTATATATATATATATATATATATATATATATATATATATATATATATATATATATATATATATATATATATATATATATATATATTCCCTTTTGAATCTCATAATCAATATGAGATGTACGTGATTTGAATCTTTTTAGACTTTTAACCCTCTAATCTTTTTTTTATAATATACGCGTTTCATATGCACTATAGAATATTATTTTTTATTATTTCATTGACTACTTTACTAATGGTGTGATATTTATATATAAAACGATTTCATTGTGAATTTCGGCTTAGTTTTTTTTAGCTTTCTAAACATAGAAAAACCAAAACAAACCTAAAAAATTGGTTTTCCTAAAAATAATAACCAAATTTTATCACATGTCATGTCCCTCAATTCTGAAAATTAAATTACCAGTTTAATCTTCATCTTTATTAATATAAATCATATAGTTTAGCAATAAATTAAGAACACGCAAACTTCTTTTAATTTCACTATTTTAATTTTGAAAACCGATTTACATTTTGAAATACCTAAATCTCTCATGAGATGAGTATTATTTTTATGACTGATTGTGTTATTTTTTTTCATTTTATTGAAATTTATATTGCATTATACACAATCATAATTCTGATCAAATATCTACATATATAATACGTAGACAGAATATTATAACTATATATATATATATATATATATATATATATATATATATATATATATATATATATTAATTTTAACTAATTATTATTATTATTATATATATATTAATATTAATTTTAACTAATTATTATAAATTTGCAGACAAACTTTTATTTTTGTAAATTAATAAATGCTTATAAATCTTTGATTAGTCATTACAATTTTAAACTATCAATAGTTTTGTTCTCAACCATGATTTCCACGTGTACTAACCTAATCTTCTACTCTGATAAATAAATGTTTTTTTTTGTCCTTTATCACATTCTCATTCAATTTGCCAAATGGTATTTTATGGTTATTTTAAATTAATTTTTATTCCATATGTGATTTTATGGTTTTTTTTATTTTATTAATTTCACATAGTATTTAAATGCAATAATAAATATAGATTAATTTTCTTAATGAGCTTTCCTTTTAATTTCAAATTTACAAAATTAAAGTTTCATTAATTTCCTTTATTTATTTATCTAAATTATTTATTTAAATTTAGAGAAAAAAACACTTTAGTTTTTATAATTCACTATTTTTTTTAATTTTCTTATAAAGTGAAACTTTTCAAATGTTTAGAATTTATATTTAGTTTTTTATTTTAAATAAACTCATGTAATATATGGGTCTCATACCTAATATAAATAATAAAAATACATGACATTCCAAACCGAAATTTTTAAAAAATATCTCATACCATAGGCCATAACCAATTAACCGTTATCAGTCCCAAAAGTTTCCGATTTAGGGGGAAATGATTTATGAAGGTAACTAACTATTTCGATTGTCCATATATAGGTAATGTTCTTTTTTTTTGTTCTCATTAATGAAACCAACTTGTTATTTATGTTCACATTTAGGTAATATGACCGGCTATCACCTGTTTTTGTTTATGTGGCAGTCACCTGGCACATTACTTGAATATGTTGCACCTACGTGGCATTGTGCATATATTCTCTTTGTTTACAGTATAAGAAGTCATTCAATTACACCCCTGATTTTGAACCCTAGATCAACGATGGCTTCTTCTTCCTCATCTTATTCTTCAAAACGGCAAGATGAATTTCAACCTGATCATCCATGTGATTGCAACTTACCATCTCTTGTGAAGACTTCAAGAACCCCTGACAACCCTGAAAGAAAATTTAGAGTTTATCAAAACTAGATGGTAATCAGTATTGTTGAATACATTGCAACTTTCTTCTTCTTCATCTTGTTGAATACCCTTTCATTCTTCTTCATCCTTTAATTTAACATTTTTTTTAATTTTTCTTCGAGAATGGAAAAAGTCCAAGCTATAAATTTTGGCAATGGCTGGACGAGGATGAAGGGAGGACAGATGGAAGAAAGCCTTACTGGAGGAAACCAGAAGAAAGATGTAATCTAACCTTGAAAATTTGCACTTTGGAGAATGAAATCAACATATGTAGGATGAAGATCGAACAAGAAAACAACACCAATTTGGTTAATAGATAAGAATTGGACAAAGTCAAGTGGAAGTTGTTTACTCACAAAGCGGCACTGATTTTGTTATTTGTATTGTATGTGAAAATGTTATGTTGATTGTAGTTCATGATGTATTAGGGTTGAATGATGTAGTTCATGAATGAAACTTGATTGGTATTAGAATGATGTAATCCACCTGTTTTTGTGTATGCTTATGTATGTAATGAATGGATGGAACTTTTGTTACTTGTTTTTAATTCTGATGTTTTTGTTACATGTATTAGAATGAAAAATACTTAAACACTGAAATGTAATACAATCAAACATGAGAATGTAATATAATCAAACATTGGAATGTAATATAATCAAACATTGGATTCCCAGGAAACATTGTTTACAAAACATTTGAATTTAACATAAGTACACATGCATTACTGCCAAAAGGTACACACAAGATTCCAAAAGTTACACATATTACTAGACAAAAGGTTCCCAGTGAATGATGCCAAAAAATAACAAAGTATCTAATTCTAATCCAATTCCATTTGATTTTCACCAGTACTCCCCAACTTCTCCTCCCACTTCCTTCTTATCTGAATTTTTGTGATTCTTTCTGAAGGTTTCCTTTTTCTCTTTCCTTGTAGAACTTGAAATGCTGCCACTTCTTGCATATGCTCCTCTTCCACTAGATCTTAAAGTGCAGCCTGTCCTTGGTCATCTTGTCCAACTGGATCTGGAAGTACAACAAGTTCTTCACCTTCTTGACCTTCACCCCGTCCTTGAACTTCAACTTCAACTTGATCTACAACTGCAACTTGGTATTCACCTTCTTCAACTTCAACTTCAACAAGTGCTTCAACCCGTGCTTCAACTTCAACCTGTTCTTCAACCCCTCCAACTTCAACATGTGCTTCAACCCCTCCAACTTCAGCTTCAACCTCAGGTTGGTCTACATCTTCATATGTTTGATTGCCCTCTTCAAAATCAACTTCATAAGACCCCGCCTCACTATCAGGCTCCCTTTGAACTTCACTATCACTATCACTTTCCACATCAACTTCTTGAACTAATTCAACCTTCACTTTACCTGTTATGAAATAATTCAAATGTTAGCATTAGAAGTTGTTATATTGTAATCAAAAGGTAAAGGAAGATAAATACCTTCTTTTTTGGCTTTTTTAATTTTTGACTTTGGCTTTGGATTAGATGATTCCCCAATTGGTTTTTGAGAACATTTTGCTTTGTTATGCCCTGGATCTCTACATATGTTGCATCTTATAATAATACCCCTTTTTGAGATTGTATGCTTATTGCCCTTTAGTTCATTCTCAATCTGATCCCTTTTCCTTTTTGTTGATGGTCTTCCTGTCATCCTTCTCTTTTTGGGAGGCAATGGCTTGATGTAATCCACATCAGGCCACATATCACTACCATTTAGTGGCTTAATGGTATACATGTAGGCATTACAAAACATTGTTGTGGTCAACCATGGTGATACATAGTCCTCTGGATCCCTATTGAGGTTTGAAATGGCAGCATATGCATGCACACAAGGGTAACCAGTTAATTGTAAACCTCTACATCCACATGTCTTCTTACCAAGGTCTATAGCATATGCATCATATAAAAGTCTCACTTCAAATTGTTGATAACCAGATGGTACAACTCTCCAAAATCTGTCCACACACACTTAAATGTAAGTATACACAACTGAATGTCACACACATATATAAAAGGTATTCAAGCACTAACCTTTGAAGTTGCTTAATCTTGGATAGTTTCAGTCTAATGGTAGGACATATGTTTAAGTCTCCCCAAGAACTTCCCTTAATTTTTTGTCTACAAAGTCTCTCCATCACATAAATTCTAATTTATTCTAACATAGTGATTAGAGGTCTCTTCCTGGCAGCTCCAATGATTGAGTTAAAACTCTCAGATACACCATTTTCATATGTATCACATGCCCTATTATTATGAAAGAATGCTTTACTCCAAGTTTTAGGCTCCCTCTCCATTAGATGATCATAGGCAAGTGGTTCTATCTTCTTGAGTTTATTCATATGTTGCTCAAATTTAGCTTGGGTAATAGAAGCAGCAACATACCAGAAACATTTACTGAACTGTTGACCCTTGAATTTTTTCATGAAGTTAGCACATATGTGTCTGTCACATTGTCTATGCTCTACTGCAAGCACCCTTTCCTTGACAGCCTCAAGTAATCCCTGTTAGCATTACAAACAAAACATAAATTTCAAATAAATTAAGTATTAAATAAATAGAGCATATAAAATCATTACTTTGTGTTGGTCTGAAATTAATGTCAACCCATGTCCATTTCCCATTCCAATGTCATCAAGGAGAAGGTCAACAAACCACTTCCATGTTTCCTTACTCTCCACTACAACCACAACCCAAGCAAGAGGGTAGATATGGTTGTTTGCATCCCTCCCTACAATAGAAAGCAACTGACCTCTGCAAACACCTTTTAAGAAGCAGCCATCTAGGCCAATTACCCTTCTACAACCTTTAATCCATCCATCCTTCACAACCTTTAAATATGTTGGAACACTGTCTAAGGTTGCAACTATATTAGGCAAGTATTTGACCCGATTGTACATCGTCCTTTTGGGTTGCCTTCACCATGGCACCTTGGTAGGATGATTTATTATGAGAGAATAGATATTATTAATATATTATGAGAATAATATAAGGAATAATAATATAGTTATTTGATTAATATAAGTCATAGATTAATTAGTATTAATTTGGTGACTTAAGGAGATTAATTAAATAAGAGGGTATAAATTGTCAATTGTTTGATAGTTAAACTTTAGACTGTAAATCCATATTGGATAGACAGTGGACGGATTCTAGAAGATATGGATAGCTTCAAATCGTCCAAGGTTATATAAGGAATGGATTTGGATTGCTTTAAGAGAAGATTATCTAATTAGGGTTTAAGTTGTAACCCTTAAGGAGTCTACAAGTATAAACAGACCCTATGGCAAAGGGAAATCGGTACTTCGTCTAAAGTAGAGAACCCCTAGCCAAATTCCCTCCTCTCTCCTCTCTCTCAAATCATCCTTTTTGCTAGTTGGTATTTGTAAGCCATTAGAGGAGTGACAATTGTGACTCTAAAGCTCCAAGAAAAAGAAGATCAAACAAGTGTTTCAAGGTATGATTCTAAATCTGATTTTGTGTTGTTCTTATACCTAATAAGCCATTAGGAGTCTTGGATTCAATGCATGTTTAATTAGAGAAACCTAGATCCAAGCATTAGGGTTTGTATGCGCACATAGGAAAGTTCTTAAGTACAAAACCCATCAGTGGTATCAGAGCCTAGATTGTTTTCTATTAAATTGATGCTTAATTGTATGAATGCTAACTGCAAAATTCGAATTTTGTGTTTCTGAGTCATGGACTCAGCGAGTCCCATAGTGGACTCGGCGAGTTGGCCTGACTCGGCGAGTCCAGTTTGGGTACTCGGCGAGTCTGAGCGTCAGGATTAGCCAAAAACGGGTTTTTTCCATGTTTATATTATGGAAACTTACCTTAATCATATTAGATCAACCCAAATCCGATTTTGTGATATATATATGACTATATTTTTGATCTAATTGAAGATATTTATCAATTAATAAAATATTTAATTTCCTTATACGATAATTATTAATTATTTTGATTAAGTTGGTAAATTGTTTTTCAAGAAATCAAATATGGATAATTATGTGGTTAATTGTTAATTTGAATTATTTGTTATTTGATACTTTATGTTTTAAATGTTTAAAACTTGCCCTCAAGTTTTGAAATTTACGTTTTGTGATTAAAAGTTTAATTTAGACAATTTAAATTTCAAACCCTAGAATTTTACAAGTTTAAAATCCAACCCTATACTAATATAATATTACAAGATTAATATCTATATATGTATAACTTAAATGTTAGTCTTACTGTTAATAGGCCTCATTCACGAAGCCGGTCTATAAGGTGAGTATAAGGTTGCGGCCTATAAAATGGCGCTTAATGGGTGTACACTCACACCCACTGCTTGCTTGATCGGTGGAGCGTCGATAGCCGAACGGGTAGGATAGGGCAACCTCATCCTCTTCTTAAAAATATAATAAGAAATACAAAGTAACTACATGTTTTCTTAAAATTTCCCAATCTTAGTTACTTTAGGAAAAGTGAATTGATGCAATCCCATGAAATTACACTTTGCACCTTGCTAAGAAGTTAGTGGAGCGTGTGTGGTTTACCAACACACTAATTGGTTATAAGCGAAGGTGGCAAATGGTGATTCATTGTTTATCATAGTTCGATGGAGCGTGTGTGGTTTACCGGCACATCGAATAGGCGATCGTTACAATGAAGGCACCATGTGAATTTGCATGGTAATTCACACCCGCTTTGTGATCCTCGGTATCCCAGTCACAAATAAGAGGGGCATATCGAGATTTAAACATGCCATTGAAAAGTCTCAATGAATCTCATCCGAACGTAGGAATTCTCAATACATTTAGGACTTAAAGTTATGTTTTTCATGGTGGAAAATTAGTGAATCGTCATTCACTTACCTTCAAATTGTTTGCATATTAGATTACGGCATCCCTTTTCTAATGTGTAAATATTGTTGTTGGATCCTAACCCTAATTTTTCTTATTGGGTGATGATTAGGGATTCATATTCTAATCTATCTTTGTCCTTTCTATTTATAGATGTCGAACGCCAACAATGCTGCTGCGAGTTCTTTCACTTTGATGAGCCTTTGTCAAAAGGTCACCTTTGATGGAACGAACTTTAGCGAATGGATAATATACATTCGCACGATTGCTCGCTATAAGGATAAAGAGTATGTCCTCGATGAGAAGCTCGAGAAAATCAACCCCGAAATTGCTACTCCCGCCGAAATAACCGCTTTCGAAACTCACGAGCGTGATGCAACGAAAGTGCATTGCATCATGATCGCGAAAATGAACTCCGAATTCCAAAAGTCCTACGAGGACATGTATCCGTACGAAATGCACCAAGACTTATTGGAGAGATACCATCAAAACACGAGACAAGAGCGTTATGAGATTCTCACTAACATGATTTCCGCTAAGATGGGTCATGGAGAGTCTCTTACCGTTCACTTGCAAAAGATGCAAAGGTATATCGACCGCCTTCGCAAGTTAAATGTTGACTTTGGGGAAGACTTGGCAATCGACATGGTGCTTCACTCTTTGCCTCCAAGCTACAATCAATTTAGGATGACCTATCACATGAACAAGGAAGAGGTCACCCTAAGCAAACTCCAAGGTCTCTTGAGGGTCACTGAGAACAACTTCAAGGAGAAGTCTGTTGCACCAACTCCCAATCCGCCCGCCGCTCCTGTCTTGGCAATTGGACAAGGAAAGGGAAAGAAGAGGAAGGATTCATCAAAGAACTATCGCAAGGTGAAAGCCCGAGATAGTGCCTCTTCTAGTGGGACCAAAGTTGATCCCGCTAAGCCCTGCTCTAACCCAAAGGAGGCAGAGTGCCACCACTGCCACAAGATAGGAAATTGGAAGAGAAGCTGCCTGGAGTACCTGCAAGCCATCAAGGAAGGAAAGATCGAGCCATCTTTCACATGTATATATACAATTAAATCTAACGATTCATCTCACAATACTTCTTGGGTTCTTGATACCGGTTGTGGTTACCACATTTATTCTAATGTGCAGGGACTAAGAAGAAGTAGAGACGTGGAGCATGGATCTAATCATGGGGAACAGAAGATCGTCGCCTGTAACCAAGATTGGAGTGTATTCTTTAGTGCTTAGGAATAGTTTATCTTTAGATTTGAACAATTGTTGCTATTCGCCCGAAATGGATAGAAACATCATTTCTTTTCATGGTTTGTTTAGACAAGGTTTTAGATTTTCTTTTAATAATGAGAATGGTTCTATTTTAGCTTATCTAAATGATGTCTTTTACTTTGAAGCTATACCATGTAATGGAATTTATGAAACTGTTATGATTGTTGATAACTTAGGAAATGATGTTTTGTACTTGGATTCTTCCAATAGTATGGATAAGGCATCCTTATGGCATTGTCGTCTTGGACATGTCAACAAGAAACGGATAGCCCAACTCCAAAACGATGGAGTGTTGGAGTCATTCGACCTTAAGGAAGGTGACACATGCGAGTCTTGTTTACTTGGAAAGATGACTAAGTCACCCTTCGCTGGTACGTGCGAAAGGGGTGAGGGTCTATTGGACCTCATACATACCGATGTATGTGGACCGTTTAGATCTACCACGAAGGATGGAAACCGCTTCTACGTGACTTTTATCGATGACTATAGTAGACATGGTTTATATCTACTTAATCAAGAAAAAGTCAGAAACTTTTGAAAAGTTCAAAGAGTTTAAGAATGAAGTGGAGAATCAATTGGGCAGGAAGATCAAGATGCTTTGATCCGATCGAGGAGGAGAGTACCTAAGTCTTGAATTCCACGATTATCTCAAGGAGTGTGGAATAGTTTCACAATTGACGCCACCTAGGACACCACAATTGAATGGTGTGGCAGAAAGGCGTAATCGAACCTTGTTGGACATGGTTCGCTCTATGATGAGTCGTGCTTCGCTATCTATTTCTTTTTGGGGGTATTCCTTAGAGACTGCCGCCCATATCCTTAACTGAGTCCCTACTAAGAATGTTGCCAAAACACCTCACGAGATGTGGACGGGGAAAGCTCCTTCGTTAGCACATATCAAGGTTTGCGGTTACGACGCTTTCGTAAGACGAGATACTCACGACAAGCTCGAACCTCGTAGTGAGCGATGTATTTTCATTGGCTACCCGCAGAAATCCTTTGGATATCTCTTCTATAGACCGAAGGACAATGTTGTCTTTGTTGCGAGGAGAGGAGTTTTCCGAGAGCGAGAACTCATAAGCCAAGGAGATAGTGGGAGGCAAATCGATCTTGAAGAGATTCAAGAGTCGATAGATGAAGGAACCTCTACCGCTGGCGCTCAACCCAAGGAGGAAACTCCCGTTGAACCAATTGACATATCATTACCTCTTAGACATTCCGAAAGAGTTAGAGTGCAACCCCAGTTGTATGGTTTTCATATTACTACCGAAGGGGACACGTATATTAGTGATAGTACACTAATAAACCTTGATGAACCTAAAAGCTATAAGGAAGCCATGGCAGACCCGGAGTCTGCGAAATGGGAAGAGGCAATGGATAGCGAGATCCAATCCATGTATGATAACCAAGTTTGGAATTTGGTTGATAATGTGCCTGGACGTAAGACCGTTGGGTGCAAATAGATCTTCAAGAAGAAGACCGACGTGGATGGAAAGGTACACACGTTTAAAGCGCGATTAGTTGCGAAGGGCTTTACTCAAACTCCCGGAGTTGACTATGAAGAGACCTTCTCACCAGTTGCGAAGATAAAATCTATTAGAGTGATGCTAGCTATTGCCGCATTTCATGATTATGAGATTTGGCAAATGGATGTCAAGACTGCTTTCCTTAACGGGAAGTTGGCTGAGGATGTTTACATGGCTCAGGCAGAGGGGTTTGTGGATCTGAAGCATCCGAATAGAGTGTGTAAGCTTGAGAAGTCCATTTATGGACTAAAGCAAGCGTCTCGCAGATGGAATCTTTGCTTCGATTAGAAAGTCAAAGAGTTTGGATTTGTACTAAGCGAAGATGAATCGTGTGTATATGTCAAAGCCAGTGGGAGTGTAGTAAGCTTTCTCGTTCTATATGTCGATGACATATTACTCATAGGAAATGACATCCCGACTCTGCAGGAGGTTAAGTCCTGGCTCGGGAAGTGCTTCACTATGAAGGACCTCAGAGAGGCTTCCTATATTTTAGGAATAAGGATAGTAAGAGAGAGAAGTAAGAGACTAATAGGACTTAGTCAGAACACTTACTTAGAGAAGGTACTAAAACGTTTTAGTATGGAAAACTCGAAGAAGGGAGAATTACCAATACAAAGCAATGCCAAGTTGAGTAAGATTCAAAGTCCGAGTACTGAAGCCGAGATAGCTGAAATGAGCTGAGTTCCATACGCTTCCGCAGTTGGCTCAATCATGTACGCTATGACTTGTACTCGCCCTGATGTAGCCTTTGCTTTGAGCATGGTTAGTAGATATCAAGGGAACCCTGGCAGAGCCCATTGGATTGCGGTGAAGAATATCCTTAAGTACCTTCGGAGGACGAAGGAATGGTTCTTAGTCCTCGGAGGGAGTGATGACTTGAAGGTGCAAGGGTATAGTGACGCCAGTTTTCAGACCGACAGGGACAACTACCGTTCGCAGTCGGGCTGGGTCTTTACCCTGAATGGAGGAGCAATAACTTGGAAAAGTTCCAAGCAGGAAACCGTAGCTGATTCAACGTGCGAATCAGAGTACATTGCAGCAAGCGAAGCGTCGAAGGAGGCAAAATGGCTAAAGAACTTCATTGGTGATCTTGGATTTGTACCTGCCATAAAGGAGCCTATGGAGATTTTCTGTGATAATGAAGGTGCGGTTGCCTTAACCAAGGAACCGAGAGATCATGGTAGATCACGACATATCGACAGAAAATATCACTTTATTAGACATCGTGTAGAAGAAGGACAACTCGTAGTGAAGAGGATATCATCAGAAGATAACCCAGCAGATCCGCTTACGAAGGGACTGAGTAGGGTTAAGCATTTGCAACATGCTAGGAGTATTGGGCTGAAGGATGATATTAGCATAGATTATATAGTATTAGAAACGTATAATAGATAAATGTAATTGACATTTGATGATTAAATAAAGGAGTTTTATTTATAAGTAATGTTATTGTCCTATGTTAATTGTTTAACTATTGTTTCACTTTGCATGTTTTGACTTCCAGAATAATTGAGTTTATTAAGAATAATCGAATTGTTCAAATAGTCCACAATCGTTCATATGTCGGAAGTAGATATGAATGAAGATTGTCATGAATAGGTGTGTAGAGTGTCTAAATGGTGTTAGACATAGCAAAAGATTGCTGCAACGTTCATGAGTGCTTATGAACTAGGTTTGAGCATTGGAACAAACCCATGCTTGCTGGAATCACCTTATGGAATAAGATAGAAAAAGGGGTGATCGCAAGACGATAATATCATATAGTATTAAAACCTAGATATATGGTTTGTTATTTGCTAATTGATTGTACATTGATGATGCGAAAATGCATTGGTAACTCAATGTTATAAAACACATTGTTGTGAAGAATTGATTAATGAATAAGTAAATGCATATAAGTCGAAGTTTATATGTAACTTTTATTCTAAGAAGGAAAAAGTGATATCTCGGCCGCTCGATGATTTGATTTGACTTATGTGCCGGGCCCGGTCAGAACTGAATTGATGTGTTCAATTAAGTTCTATGTCAAATAAATCGGAGATCGAGAAACCAAATGCTAGACTAATCATTCCATAGAATTGTCAGCATGATATCTAACAGAGGACTGTACGATCCCTTATCTGAAGGACAGATTGATCAGAGTTTGACAGCGTCTTTGAGAGCTACGATTGCAAATCGGAATGTACCTGCGCATATAGTTACTAGACTTATCCAAGTGGGAGACTGTTGGAATAGTGTCTAAGGCTGCAACTATATTAGGCAAGTATTTGACCCGATTGTGCATGGTCCTTTTGGGTTGCCTTCACCATAGCACCTTGGTAAGATGACTTATTATGAGAGAATAGATATTATTAATATATTATGAGAATAATATAAGAAATAATAATATAGTTATTTGATTAATATAAGTCATAGATTAATTAGTATTAATTTGGTGACTTAAGGAGATTAATTAAATAAGAGGGTATAAATTGTCAATTGTTCGATAGTTAAACTTTAGACTGTAAATCCATATTGGATAGATAGTGGACGGATTCTAGAAGCTATGGATAGCTTCAAATCGTCCAAGGTTATATAAGGAATGGATTTGGATTGCTTTAAGAGAAGATTATCTAATTAGGGTTTAAGTTGTAACCCTTAAGGAGTCTACAAGTATAAACAGACCCTATGGCAAAGGGAAATCGGTACTTCGTCTAAAGTAGAGAACCCCTAGCCAAATTCTCTCCTCTCTCCTCTTTCTCAAATCATCCTCTTTGCTAGTTGGTGTTTGTAATCCATTAGAGGAGTGACAATTGTGACTCTAAAGCTCCAAGAACAAGAAGATCAAACAAGTGTTTCAAGGTATGATTCTAAATCTGATTTTGTGTTGTTCTTATACCTAATAATCCATTAGGAGTCTTGGATTCAATGCATGTTTAATTAGAGAAACCTAGATCCAAGCATTAGGGTTTGTATGCGCACATAGGAAAGTTCTTATGTACAAAACCCATCAAAATATACATAGAACTTTGAGATGTAAGTGGCTCCATCAGGCATGACATCTACATCCATCTTCACTATTGATCCAGGGTTGGTTCTTCTTAGCTCTTCTCCATAGCTCCAAGTTTTAGCATAATGTTCCTTTAAAGTACCCTCTATCTCTTTAAATGCATACCTCCTACCATTTTTGCACTGTCCCACACTTGCAATCAAATTAAATGTCTTGCTAACTTTAGCCTTCAATTTCCTCACACTCATCTTTGGTTTCTAGAGTATTTCATTCATGAAATGATTCCCTATCCATTTATAGCTAATAATAGACCCAAATTTGAAGACTCTTGAGCAATTATGGTTATCAATTAAAGATTTAATCTGGAATGACCTTTCATTGCTCATCCAGGTTGCCCAAAACCTAAAGGGGCAACCTTTATTCTTCTTGTTCTTCTTACCCTTACAACATTTCACCAGTAATCTGTTATGATCACTTTTTTCATAGCCCAAATCATACCCATTCTTCACTGTATAATTGGTTATACATAGCTTCAATTGCATTGGGTTAGCAAACTTCATACCTAGAATTGGCACCATCTTATCCAATTCTTGATTCTCATCATGGACAGGGAATACAACCTTATCATCTTTTCCATCATTATGTTCATCATCATCACTAAGCTTACCAATAACTGAAAGTTTGTTTAAAAAATCATCACCAATAGTTTTGTTAAAGGTATGGACTTCTTCATCAACTTCATGCTCATATCCGATAATATCATCCAAGTTATCACATTTATCACTGTCATCCTCTTCTTCCTTGTGATCCTCTTCTTCATTGTCATCCTCTTCTTCGTTGCCATCTGATAACACCTCATTTTCAGCCCAATCAAGGATTGGATCATTTTGGTGGTCAATGTAGACATCCAACTCAGCTTCAGGAGTATAAGTAGCTTCAACAAACTCCCAATAATCAGCATCATTGTCGATTCTTATAATACCCTCACCTAAGGTTTCCTTTCTACTATAGTAGTACACATTATCACAACTTCCATTGGTTAAATTCCTAAGCCACAAAAGAAACTCTTTGTATGTAAATCCTCCAAAATCGACATCACGCACTGTTATTTTTCTGGGTCTAAGTATTTTAATGGATTTGGGGCAAATAGTCCACTGTAATGAACATCTACAGTTAAATACTTACCTGTAGATGATTGGGATGCCATCTTAAAGTCGACTTCAAGACGTAGCTTCAACTCTAAACTCTAATCTTCAATTTTATGAAGCGAATCTAAAATCGGGAGGTGATTTTGGTGAAATTGAACTTGTCGAACCCTAATTAAATGAGAAAGGGGAGCAATGGCCACGTAACAGTACACGTATTTTGTTTTAACTGAGTTACATTGATGCAACCGGGTAAAATGGGTGAAAACAGGTGATAATCGGTTATATTACCTAAATGTGAACATAAATAACAAGTTGGTTTCATTAATGAGAACAAAAAAAAATATTACCTATATATGGACAATCGAAATAGTTAGTTACCTTCGTAAGTCATTTTCCCCCGATTTAGGTAAATTTGCTATCTCTGCTCTCAAGAAATGTACTAAGTTTATATAAGAAGGACCAAAACGTTAATATCTAAAACCAACCGACCGTAATTGTTACTTTATCAATAATTAGGTGTCATATGTGGATATCTTAGATTCCATAAATAGCGATTCAAATGGCCCAATTGACTTGCAGGCCAAATCGTACTTAAATTTAAACTATATCGAACCGACGACGATACTCTCTATAAACAAAACACCCACCGGAGAACAATGTTTTAGGCTTTTCCTTACAGTGACTGTTGACTTTTGACGGAGATTATAATGGCCGGCGGAGGCATGGTGAGCGACAAGGGCGGTGCTAGGGCGGAGCTCTACGAGCATAAGATCACGCCCTACTTCATTTTTGCTTGCATCGTTGCTGCTCTTGGTGGATCTTTGTTTGGATATGATCTTGGTGTCTCCGGTCAGTCTCTCTAGTCTCTACTACTATATATATTTTTTTACTTAATTTTCCGATCGGAAAAAACACATACAGTCGCCGGAAAATTGCCATTAACACGTATTCAAATTACAAATGGTTAAAGGGCTATGATGGTCTGGTTGGGTCTCGCATGGGTTTGGGGTAATGGGGTTAGTTCAGTAAATTTGATCTTCTTTGGGTCACTGGATGATGGGTAGTTTAGTAATTTTGTATTTACATATATAGTAATCTTGATCATAAAAAAAGATTGTTTTGCATGGGTCGATATGGTCCATTAGATCGTAAAATTGTAAATTTATTTGACAATTTTTTGTAATTTTAATAACAAAAATGGACTTTAAAAAATAGGCACTTAAAAGTTAAAACCAACCATTTAGCATATCAACTATTAATAATTTGTAATATTTTAATACGATGGTTTCTAATTTCAAACTGGATCACTTTTATAAATCCTAAAGTAGGTGTCAATGTAATCCGTTTTATAATTTTTAACTAGTTGCCAATTTGGATTTTTTTCAAATTGGTCAAACTAGCCAAGTGGCTTTGATAGTTTGATATTATCTGTTTACTTGGTTTGACCTTTGACCAAAAACAGCTTATGGGTAGTTTAGTAAATACAAAGTTTTGAAAACCGGACCGGAGACTGAACCGGTCGTCTTACTGATTCGATGGTTCAAGTGGTCCAACCGGTTGGACCGGTCTCAAAAACCGGAAAAACCGGATGATGTCATAATTATATTTAATTATACAAAAATTACAAAAAATGAAAAAAATAAATATTTTTTAAATTTCCGGTTTTGACCGGTTTTACCGGTTCAACCGGACCGGTTTTTACCGGTTCGACCGGTTTTCACTGGTTTTCACCGGTTCACACGAATACCGGTTTTTTAGCCTTTAAGAACCGGATCCAGGACCGGTTCCCGGTTGAACCGGCCGGTTCGGTCCGGTTTTCAAAACATGGAGTAAATAGGGTACTTTTAAAACAACGATCTTTTGTAGGTGTTTCGTAGAATAGATGATGAGAATTTGCAACTTTGGTTGTTGCTTGTGGTTAGTTTGGTAATTTCACATTTATAGACCAAGCATCTAATTATTTTGCTGCCAACATTTATTATTATTTATATTTTAATAATATTTATAAACCACATATTTATTATTTGCTTACAAGTCAATGAACGTATAAAACAAAAATGAACAAATTTTATAGAACAATATATTCAGCGAGAGAATCAAAATCATACAAATATCCAATTTTAGTTAAACATTATAATAACATAACAGTTTTATTGTTTATTTATTTATTTTATGACTATGATTCATGTATTTAAAAACATATGTTTACGAATATGCTTAATAATGTGTCTAAAACGATCGATTACGTGTGAGATTTTATATAAGTATATCTATTTTTGGGTCAATATACGAGTTTAAAAATATATGTTCACCTTATATTTTTCAATTTTTTCGAAATAAACCACTACTTTATTATTTTTTTTCCCAATAAAACCTTCACCTTTTAATTTTTTCCAAAATCACTCTCAACTTTTAAAAGAGCTACCAAAAAAAAGTGTTTCTTTTTTTTTTATTATAGAAAAGAAAAAAGTATATACAAAGTTACAAAGTTTAAAGTTTTATATTGCTAATTTTTTCAAGTATAAGTCAAAATTAACGCAGAAAGTCAAAATTAACACTAAAATAGTCAAAATTAACTCCATTGATGATCTTCAGGTGGAGTAACATCCATGGACCATTTCTTAAAAGAATTCTTCCCAAAAGTTTACAGAAGAAAACAAGAACATCTCAAAGAAACCGATTACTGCAAATACGACAACCAAATCCTCACCCTTTTCACGTCGTCGCTTTATTTCGCCGCCCTATTCTCCACCTTCTTCGCCTCCCATGTCACCCGGAACAAAGGCCGGAGAGCCAGCATTCTCTGCGGTGCCGTCAGCTTCTTCGCCGGAGCCTCAATCAACGCCGGAGCTCAAAACATCGCCATGCTCATCATCGGCCGATGCCTTCTTGGTGTCGGAATCGGATTTGGTAACCAAGTAAGTACATCTTTCCAATCTACGCTTCCAATTTTAATGTCAGCAGTCGCCGGAAAGTCTGCAACCCTAGTTTCTTGATTATGCAGGCGGTTCCTCTTTACTTATCGGAAATGGCGCCGGCGAAAATCAGAGGGGCGGTGAACCAATTGTTTCAATTGACAACTTGTTTAGGCATATTCATAGCCAATTTTATCAACAATGCGACGGAGAAACACAAGTGGGGATGGCGATTATCATTAGGGTTGGCTACAGTTCCGGCGTTATTGATGTTCGTCGGAGGGCTTTTCTTGCCGGAAACGCCGAACAGTTTAGTTGAACAAGGGAAATTAGAAGAAGGGAGAAGGATTTTGGAAAGAGTTAGAGGTACGAAAAACATCGAAGCAGAATTTCAAGATCTGGTTGAAGCAAGTGAAGCTGCAAAAGCCATTAAACATCCTTTCAGGAACCTTCTGAAGAGAAAAAATCGACCACAATTGATCATCGGAGCTTTGGGTATACCTGCGTTTCAACAGCTTACAGGGATGAATTCTGTGTTGTTTTATGCGCCTGTGATTTTTCAGAGCTTAGGGTTTGGTTCTGGTGCGTCGTTATGGTCATCCACCATCACAAGTGGCACTCTTGTTCTTGCTACCTTCATTTCAATGGCGTTTGTTGATAGATTTGGCCGGAGAGCCTTCTTCTTGGAAGCCGGCATTGAAATGATCATCGCTATGGTAAACCATCCCGCTCTAAATCCAAATAACACCAAAAGAAAAAAAAAAATTACTGATTTTTTTTTTTAATTAATTATTACTAGAATTGAGATTTAAAAAAAAAAAAAAAAAAAAAAATGGAATTTGACTTTATATCTTGTTACATATTCACAAATAACACCAAAAGAAAATTAAAAAACAAATGAAAATTTTATTTTAAGAGAAATTATTAATATAATTAATGTTGACCTTTTGTATTAGTTTTGATATATGTCTTATTAGCCATTCACAAAAATGACTAATATTGCCCTAAAATGCATAGCCGTGGAGATAAAGAATAGTATAAAATAGGTTGAAGATTGAAATATTACACCTCCAAAATATTATTAGTAAATAGATTAAAGGTTGAAATATTACACTTTCAAAATATTATTAGTACTATGTGCAATGCGACTTACCATTATTTTTATGATAACCAATATTTTGCTTTGATATTTAACAATTGAGCATATTTTTTCTAATCACAAAATGACCATCAATTCCGAAATCAAAAAGTTGCGAAATGTGAAAGTGTTCATCTCAAAAAGAAACATTAAAAAAAAAAATTCTAAATTGTAAGAACAATTTCTTAATTTTGAAATAGAATTTTTTTTCTACAAGTTTTTCTTTTCTAATTTTATGATATTTTTTGTAGTGGGGAACAATTTACAAATTCATTAGTACCCAACTAACAGTTGTGAAATTGACGATATTTTTGTGATTCGTGAAAATATGTTCATTTTTTCAAATAACACGTCATAAAGTGGTATATTTTGTGAAAAAGCCAATATGCCATCTTATTTTTCAAAATAATAAAAGGGGATAAGACCATTTTTAGTTACAACCATTAAATGATCATGTGATTGAAACATTAAACGAGTTGAAAGATCACAATCATTGTCCCATTATCATCAGTCTCAGTCTACAGTATGTCAAACACAGTACAACATCTTTTGTTTGTTCTAAAGTGTCCGTCTTGATTTTCAGGTATGTGTGGCCGTAACCCTAGCTCTCAAATTCGGGCAAGGTGTGGAGCTACCAAAAGGAATTGGAATTTTTCTCGTAGTGATGATTTGTATATTTGTTTTGGCTTATGGGCGTTCATGGGGCCCATTAGGATGGCTAGTGCCTAGTGAATTATTCCCATTAGAAACAAGGTCAGCGGGTCAAAGCATCGTGGTTTGTGTCAACATGTTCTTCACAGCATTAGTTGCACAATGTTTTCTCGTGTCACTATGTCACCTCAGATACGGCATCTTTTTGTTGTTTGCTGGATTGATTGTTGTTATGAGTTGCTTCATCTTCTTCTTGTTGCCTGAAACAAAACAAGTTCCAATTGAAGAGATACATTTGTTGTGGCAGAAACATTGGTTGTGGAAATCTTATTGTGAACCAGAAGAGGAAAAAACAGGAATGAAACCAGTGCAAGTTGTGTAGAATTTGTAATTAGTTTTACATATGTTTGATTTGTTTTCGTTTGTTGTTTATATGTGTTTAAATGATTGTAAAGATGCTTTGATCTATATGTTTTGGAACTGATCTGATTGTGTCAGTCTAAAGATATTATATGCTTTTAATGTTTGAATAACATGTCAGTTGTTTTTGATATACTTTATTTATTTATTTTAGTACTTGTTTTGATCGAAACATAAAAAAATATTATATATAACTTGAAAATGTTTTTTGGTTCGTGTAGCAGTGAGTTAATTAATCTTACATTTTGAAAATCTTGTTTTTTAATGTATTGAATACATTACATATATAAACTATTTCTAATAAATACTTTATATATATATATATATATATATTACCTTACATATTAAATGTGGAATTTTAATTTAATAAAATAAAAAATACAATAAAATGATAAGTGGAAAATAGAAAATTTTAAAAATCTAGAAAAATGTTATGTATCCAAATAAATGAGAAGATGACATGTGGAAAAAAACCTTCTAGATTAAGCGGAGTGTTTAAGTAGGGATTGTTTCTGTAATATTATGGAACATAGGGACCAATTATGTAGTTTTCTTATTAGATAGGGACCATGTTTTTATTTTATTAAAACATATGACCATATTTGTAATTTTAGGACCCATTTCTGTACTTTTGTAAATACATGGACCTTTTCTGTAAGTTTACTAATTAAACAAAGACCATTTTGATAATATATGAAATATAAGGAAATTTTTTTTAATTTTTGTATGAAAGCAGGGATTGTTTATGTAAAACAGGTGTATAAAGTTACATAAACAATACTTGATAGACTCAAATTGTAACTCATACAGAAACTAGAAATTACCCTCCATTGAACTCTTTCCCCCAGAAACTCACACTATTACACATTGCTCGGAACTTCAAATTAGAACTCAGAAAACGAGTTTTTATGATTCTCTGTATAAATCCTTCCTGGGTATTTCTTCAATTATTCTGAAAAAAAACTGTTCTTCACTCGCATTCATCATCGATTCATTGGGTAACTTCAGCTACTTGCTCATACTTTTATAAGATTTCTTTTTCAAATTTATATTATCAATCTATTTGGGTATTCTCTGAGTGTGCACTTTTAGATCGTGTTATTATTTTTGTTTAATGTCAATCAGAAATTAATCAATCGTTTCAGGGATAAATTTGATTTCAGTAGTCAGTTTTACACTTGGGGTAATCTTTCACGCATCAGCTGTTAATCTGTAAGTCCGAACCTCAAATATGATTTGATAAGAACCTGAGAAATCGGAAATTCCAATTTTTCAAGATTCGTATGTGATTTGTTGTCAATTCGCGTTGAAAAAACAGTATAAATATGTTTACTTTTGAGTTTTGACGCATGAATATGAGATTGGGGATTCTTAACTAGGTGCATAGATTTTCATATTTTCTGCAGTGTGATTTCAAGTTACAATCATCACTTAATCCAATGGTAGACTGAAATTACTTATATAACCTTATGTATCGGTTATTTCCGTTGATAGTCAGAATTTAAACACCACTTTTTTTTTTTCCATCATATTATCTGAATCTAATTATTCAATGTCACATTAATCCATTTCTATTAATACCTCTTATTGTCAAATATTATTTATCATAGGTCAAACTATTAATCAGCAACATGGCATACCCAACAAGCTCCATAGAAGTGTCCTCGATGCAGTTAATTACGTAAATGCCCATGGAACCCAAACGCCCATTACGAAGATTATGTCGAATTCAAATCCAACTACTTCTTATTTTGGTCATAAGCCTTGTGGTTGTACTCATAGTTATAGCTCAATTACTCACATTTCCGTATAAAAACTACACATCCATTCTATCCCCCATCACCAAGGGTATTTTGGTCCACAAAGTGTCCATTTATGATAACACCTCTATTACACACGAGGGAGTAGTTCAAAATGAGTCGAAAATAGAAGAAGGGTGCAAAGGGTATGATTGTAATTCCGGATCCTTACTCTCAAAAATTGTAGCCAAAGTAAATGACTCCGGTCAACATGTTACCATTGCTTCACAACCAACACGACTTTCTTACATGATTTCGGTTCTTGAATTTGTTCGTTTCAATGTAGGGACTCACTCGTAATTACGCTTTTGTTTTCCAAATTTTGGGTTTTGAATTTAAAATATATTTTTTGCTTGTTTTCACAAATTTGTAATCATTTTTTTTTAAACATCATTTATCCAGACAACACTTGATCGAAAAAAAAATAAAGCAGGGTCGAAGTTGTCGTCTATTCGTGAGCAACAACTTCAACATGCACGCATGCAGATTGAGAAGGGGCCCACATTAACAAGCAATGAAGGACTTCATGCTTCTCTTTATCGCAATGTTTCGCGGTTTTTAAGGTGAAATTTGTCAAATACTCTACTATCAAAAGCGATTTTTACAACTTCAATTAGCAAATGATATTGTTTTGTTAATCACAGGAGTTACAAATTGATGGAAGACATTTTGAAAGTTTACATCTACAAGGAAGGAAAGAAACCTATATATCATGATCCAAAATTAAGGGGAATCTATGCTTCAGAAGGATGGTTTATGAAACTAATGGAGAAAAATAGAAACTTTGTTGTGAAAGATCCTAAAAAAGCACACTTATTTTATCTACCATTTAGTTCACTAAAGCTAAGACTTTCATCTCAAGAGCATACTCCTCAAAATCGTAGAAATTTACAACTACATTTAAAAAATTACACCACTTTAATCTCCCGAAAATACCCTTTCTGGAACAGAACTAATGGAGCCGACCACTTTTTTGTTGCTTGTCACGATTGGGTATGTTTTATTTTTATATGTCGCTTAACATAGAAAAACGACTTAATACAAAAAGTAGAGAAACGACGCTTTTTCCGTTAACCCTAAATTTATGTCATGTAGCGTGAATTCCCTAATTCCCAAATTGATGAATTTTTTTTGCGTGATAAAAACGTTATAATGCTTACAGTCGATGAAGCTAACGAAAGATGATATGGGAAACTGCATAAGATCACTTTGCAACTCGAATCTCGGCGGAGGTTTCAAGATCGGAAAAGACACGACACTTCCGGCGACTTACATCCGTACATCAGAAGATCCGGTGAAAGATGTTGGCGGAAAGCCGCCATCGGAAAGACAAATTCTCGCATTTTTCGCCGGAGGAATGCACGGAAGCCTCCGGCCAGTTTTGCTCCGGCAATGGCACGATAAAGAGCCCGACATGAAAATCTTTGGGCCAATGGCTCGTGATGTTGAAAGTAAAGCTAAATACCGAATGTATATGAAGAGTAGCAAATATTGTATTTGTGCTCGTGGGTATGAAGTGTTTACACCACGGATTGTGGAAGCAGTTTACTATGAGTGTGTTCCCGTGATTATATCGGATGATTATGTCCCGCCTTTTTTTGAGTTTTTGGATTGGGAGGGGTTTTCGGTGTTTGTTTTGGAGAAAGATGTGGGGAATTTGAGTGGAATTTTAAGGGCGATTTCGGATGAAAAGTATCGGGAGATGTGGGAGAGAGTGAAGAGGGTGCAACGACATTTTATTTGGCATAAGAATCCTGTGAAATTTGATTTGTTTCATATGATTCTTCACTCGATTTGGACTAATAGAGTTTACATGACATGATAGGTTGTACCATGTTGTGTTTTACATATTGTCGTATAATTGATTGTACATTGTAATGTATTTGATATACGATCTTTATGTCAATAATTTTTTGTTTTATTTAAAAAGTTGGGATAGGAACTCGCTATTGATGTGTCATCATGTAAAAGACATGAATCTCTACTCCAAAGAAGCTTGTCTAGTAATGTCCAATCTTGTCTTTTCTAGTGTTGTATGTAATGTTTGTATATTTTTGATTGGGATAATGACTTGAAAGGGTAACGAACTTTCGATTTTGTTCACATTTAGTCACTAAATTTTTTTTCGTTATCTATTTGCCATTGAATTATTGAAACTGTTCACATTTTATCCTTGTGACCGGCTGTTACTGGTCATAAGGGTAAAATGTGAACAGTTTCAATAGTTCAATGGCAAATAGATAACAAAAAAAAAATTTAGTGACTAAATGTGAACAAAATCGAAAGTTTGTTTCCCTCTAAAAAATTCAATGGCTAAATGTGAACAAACTTCATATTATATTATGTTTTAGCAAATTATTTATTTTTGTTTAATTGTAGCAACATTTGTTGATAAAGAAAACTATAAAATAAAAAACAAAATGTAACATCCGGATTTCCAGGTATCATAATTTAAGTATTTTTCTTTTGAGTTAAGAAGAGAGGCTCGACGAGTTGACGCCTATGACAACTCGAAAATTTTCATCCAGTTCAATCTAACACTTCATTGAAAGTCAAACTCATTCCTGATATCATTTAGCACAATTTGGAGACTGTTTGAGAGTTCTGAGCCTTGTACACTTAAGGGGTAAGTGTCGGGGTTTATCTATTGTATCTATAGCTGAAAGAACAAGTCTAAAACACCTTGACCAGGAGTTCACGGCCACCACATGGGAGTTTACGCCCGTAAACTCCATGTGGGCCGTAAACTCCTCCTATATGGTGAAGTCTTGGCCATTTTGTTCATTCCTTTCCTCCTCTTGGCCGAAATCCTCTCAAGTATCATCCCGATCTTCGTCCCCGATCTTCAAATCTCATAAGTTTCTTGCCCTAACTAGTTGATATCTTACATGAACTAGTGATCTAACATGATTTCATCCGTGAAATCATTCCATTTGTGTAGATCTTCAAGTTTCACCAAGAACACCAAGAACACACATTAGTGTTCTTGGCCAAAACCGACCATTCAAGCTCCTAGATCGTAAGTACTCTTGTTCTAACTCGTTGTACACTAGGTTTAACATGTTTAAAGCTTAGAAAACACAAAGAAACACATGATCCAAGGAGTTTAGGGCCAATACATGTTCTTGGGTCGTAAACCCCTATAAGTGGTGCAAATGGCACCCTAACACCTTACCAAGCCTTGGAACTTAGTATAGAACCATACACCATTGAACTAGGGATTTCAAGAAACGAAATGCTACTTCATACCATGAGTTTATGGCCGTCAACTCATGGGGAAGTGGTCCCTAGGCCGTAAACTCAATATAAGGTCATTCTTGGACCTTAAACCCACCTAGCATCTTGTTTGGGCCCGAGCCATATTTAAAGGCGCTTATGGCCTTCAATTGCGACTACATTTCCCACAAGTGAGAACCCTAGTGAGCTTGAGTGTGTAAAGTGAGCTATCTTGAGCTTTTTGGTGTGATTTTGCAAGAAAGGAGAAGAGTTCCAGCAAGAGGGACCAAGGAAGGTTATTGTTCTGAGTTATTCAAGCAAGGAGCTTCATTCTGAGGTACAAAAATGAACCCCTTTCCTTCCCTATTGTGTAGATTCCATTTTGGGGTTAGGTCTTGAATCACTTCATCTTTGGGGTTTTGAATGCTTCAAACCCCTCTTGCAAGTTTGTGTTATAGATTTGGACCCTTCTAGGTCCAGAGAGCCGAGAATATGAAGCTTTAGTAGAGTAAACTTTGGGGTTTGAAGTTAGGAATCTGGACCCTTCTAGATCCAGAGAGCCGATAATATGAAGCTTTAGTAGAGTAAACCTTGGGGTTTGAAGTTAGGAAGCATTTATGGGATTTTTAATATGAAGCTTTAGTAGAGTAAACCTTGGGGATTGAAGTTATGAAGCATTTATGAGATTTTTATGGTATATATAGTTACTTTCATCTTACACATAGATATGAAGTATTTTATATAAATTACGTGCTATGTGTGCATATTATTTGAATACTTGATGACTATGATGGATGAATGATTTTATACATGTTTTAAACGATTTAAACGATATATTTATTTTATATCTACAAATATGTTGCGGATGAAACATGGGTATATGAAATAGTTGGTGTATGATGAAATAAAATGATGAGAGATAGGTGATGATAGAAAGGTGATGATAAATGGTCCTTGATGTTGTGGACACAATTGACCAACTTCTGGTCCTTTACGATAAATTTTGAGTATAGATGGTCCTAATAATTTCAAAATCTTGCAAAGACAGTTTTTTTAACAAATGGTGTTAACAATTTCAGTTAAATCCTTATGAAATGATACATTTGTCCTTCTTACCATAGAGACCATTTATATACTTTATTCCAACTACAGGGATCATTTATGTAACGTCATCTATTATTTATTATTATTTTTATTTAATTTATTTATTACTATAACTTAGAATTTTTTTGATGTTTTATTCGAATATATTATTTAATGGCTTTTTTTTAAATATATTTTTTCTTTTACGATATTTGATATTTTGTTTGTATATTTTTTTCTAATTTTTTGATATTTTTTCCGAATACATTTATTGTCTTTCTACTTTTTGTTTGAATAATTTATTCTATTTTTTTTTGATTTTTTGTTCGAATATATTTTTTAATATTTTATTCTATGTTTTGTTTTGTTTTTTTTTTTTTTGTTTTTTTATTTATTAAAGATTTTATGGTCCCTGAAATCATAATTCCAAACTAATTCACTTACTATCATATATATATATATATATATATATATATATATATATATATATATATATATATATATATATATATATATATATATATATAATATGTTTTATAAGTATTATTTTTTAATTCAAATATATAACAATATAACATATATAAGGTTTTATAATTATTATTTTGTAAACACTTTTATAAAAAATTTCAATAAAAAATATAAAAAAAATTGTTAACCGTGAATATCATTAATATAAATTACGTACACATAGGCTAACCTAACATTGTCTCGTAGTTTTGACGAGAACGCACATGTCATTTCACGTTGGACTTAACTTTAGTATTTGCAAGTTATTTAATTCTTTTAGACATTTTTTTCGATTAGCCTATATGTTCCGATTAACCTATCTATATTAATCACATGTTAAAATAAATTATAAAAAGATTTACAAAATAATAATTTTACAACCTTATATGTGTTATATAGTTATATATTTGAATTAAAAAAATAATTATTATATATATATATATATATATATATATATATATATATATATATATATATTAAAAAAACAAAAAAAAAAAGAAAAAAAGAAAAAAATAAAATAAAAATGATGGTAAGGGAATTAAGTTACCAATATGATTATAGTGATCATGAAATCTTTAACAAATATAAACAAACAAAAATTTAAAAAATCATCAAAAATTATATTTGAAAAAAAAAAATTATTCAAGCAAAAATCAAAAGAAATATTAATAAATGTATTCGAATAAAATAGATATATATATATATATATATATATATATATATATATATATATATATATATATATATATATATATATATATATATACACTAACAAAATATCAAAAAATATAAGCGAATTTAAAAAAAAATATATCAAGAATATATTCGAACTAAATGTCAAAAAAATTTATAAATATAGAAATATAAATAAAATAATTAAAAAAAAATAATAAAATTGATAAAGTTATATAAATGGTGTATATGGCTGGATCAAATTACATAAATGGTCATGAAAGACAAATGGGTGGACTTAACTGAAAATGTTAATGTCGGTTTAGTCAAAAAGACTGTTTTTATAAGATTTTAAAACCATAAGGATCATTTATGTATAAAATTTGCCACAAGGACCAAAGTTGATGAATTGTCCACAGAGCATCTTTTTTATATGAATGAATATGATTGGAAACGGACAAGAAAATTTTTACTCAAAAAAAAAAAAAGAGTATAATATGAATGTTGAAATATTTGGACCGACAATTTGACCTGTTGAAACATAATCGACCAAAAATGGCTTAAAATTTGGGGAATTTCGAGGAGTTGAGGACCCAAAATTGATATTTTCTCTTGGAAATTGAGTCTCTAAGGATCAAACTGAACGATTTCTTCAATATCCCATTTCTAATCCTGTCGGATGAATGTAATGCGTGAATCTGTGTGTATGCTGATGGATAGTTCGACCAATTCCAGTGAAGGTTTTTGAAATAGGTATCTAATAAGGATCGATTTCAACTATCTAAAGGCTGTAATAAGTGATTTTTCTCACTGATTTCACTACCTCTTTGTATAATCTCTGGGCAAGACATTCAGGTATGAAGAAATACCGAATGCCATTTCACTTTGTTCATCAAATAGAGAAAAGACAATGGCTTTTAGTAGTGGTTTTAGTAGCTGCAATCCATTTGTTTTGTCAAACCCTAATGCTTCCTTATGGAACTCCTCTTCTATCTCTCCTACCTGGTCACAACAACACTTCGTATTTCATCTCAAAGTTTAGTACTCTTGACCACGAATTACAAGAACACAACCTTGAATTCGAAGAAGACATAGAATTAGGCGAAGTTTTCATGGAGGAAAGTAGTGATACGACTGCTCAAAATCAGCTTGAAAATGATCGATTTGTGCTTGGGGATCTTGGTGAATCAAGGCATGAACTACTGTCAGTAGACCTAAGTACAAATCTTCCAGATACGGTTTCTGTAAATAGTAGTGTTTTTAAAGAAGAAGTAAAAACGAAGATCGTGGAAGTCAAATCTGTACCTGGATTACAAGCTCAAATTCTTCCAATCAATGAGAAGTACGCTTTGTTTCAAAGTGATGATAGAAAGCAAATGAGGTGTTTGATGCCACCAAAATCAGTCATGTACAACGACAAAATGAACAGTTTGTTACTTCGTCATCGCACATCCTCTCGAGCCATGGTATGAATGTCAAGTTTCTTGAATCTCTTTCACAAATTCATCTCAATTTCATCGTGTAATCGGCTTTTCAAACCAAATTGCTTTTGCAGAGGCCACGATGGTCTTCACCACGTGATCGGGAAATTCTTGCTTCAAAGAT